GTCAAAGAACCAACTCCTGTGCTGGCTCCTGACACCTGCAGCACAACTCCGGATTTCAGATAGCAGGGATTGGGCAGGATAATACCACAAAGCACACAGGACTCTGTGTAATTATCTTTCCCTGGACCAGTTTTAACGCCGCACAACAATGATAAATGTGCTTGTAAAAAAATCTTCAGCTAACAGTAGAGGAGGCAAGCCGTGTTATTCTTAAATTACCTCTTCAGGGTTCTGGTTTTAGTTTTTTCCGCTCTCCGCTTTAGACATAATCTAAATGTTTCCCTCTCCGAGCTGTTTTGCAGTTTGAGTGCGTGAGAAAGAAAGCGAGCGTGAGAGAAAGAGAGAGAGACAACCGCCATTTACCATTTTCTGCTCTTCAAATTTGTGCTGGAAATGATAAGAGAGCCTAATTCAAAAACAGTTTTTTTTTTCCTTGATTCGTTCAAACACGTGTCCACTAAATTTGACAGAGCAAATGTTTCCATTCTCAAAGCTGATTGCGCCGCGGCTGATTTCACAGAAAACAGCTCCCTTTGAAGAAGAAACAAGGACTGGCAAGACGTCGCTCCCTTTTTCTCCGAGTAGCTCTGAAGACAGGTACATCACAAGAAATATACAAAGACAGAGGGGAGCTGACAGCACTTTGTTAGGGCTGAAAATGGCGAGCTGAAAATAAAGGGCCTCAAAGCTCACAGGCGGAAGGAAATGCAAAAGTAAGAAAAATCAGAGAGGAGATTTATTGTACTTATTTTGAAGCTGTCACCACTTGCCTTTTACAGGGAAAGCCATGCAGTCTTAATGAAAGAGGTCAATCATTTTCCTGAGCTCTGACATGTGGTGTGATTGCCTTTCACAGGAGCTAACCAGGTGGTAATTAATAACTTCATGTGCCCGACTGTGAAAAGCAGAAACTTCTCTCGTTTTGAGCGATAGTTTTGGGTGATCACAGCTTGATAGTTCAGGGAAAATAGAAACATCAGTTAGCAGAAATAAATAAGAAAAAAGGTGGCACTTATTCCACCCTCCTTTCGCCGATTTAGTCGAAATGTGAGCGCCACGTTTTGTTTTGTTGCCGCAAAGCGTGAAAGAGCCATGAAACCAACGGTCTGCTAAACTGTAAGGATGCGCACCGGAGGATGCCGGCGTGGTTTTTCTGATATTGCAGAACGGTAATGACGATGCTCCGGGGGGGGGAAGCGGAGCCTCCCCATCTACCGTCGACGTAAAAATTCATGGCTGTGGACCGAGATCAGGAAACATTTAACGTAATGTGCCATGCACCGACACCACTTCGCTTCAACTCGAATAGTTCACATCGCAAGACCAGAAACAGGAGGGTAATTGCGCTGTTAATAACTGCTTGACTTAAGTATCTAATGGGCCATCCAGCTCCCACATTAGTGTTTTTGTCAACACAAAAGGGCAAATCTGTCACAGCAATCAATCACTGGGAGCTTCCGTCTCTTCGTTTCAGGACCTTTATAGCGGATATATTGCCCATACACAGTTTATGACTGATGATTGGAAAAAAGGAATAGCTGGCAGGGCTTTATGGAGTCAGAACAACCTGTGGTGGTGGCAGCGGGGTGCATTTGAGGGATTTCACCATCAGAAACGACAACCTTTTCCTTCAGAGGCTGAGGACGGCAAATGCCACAGACTATTGTTTATGAGGGATTATCTAGTCAAGCCTCCTTGCTGGAGAGATTGTGACCCCAATATGAGCACAGATACACATCAACACCGTGTAAAGCCCCAAAAAATGATTCCTGGAAGGGACGTGCATACAAGCGACCCTTCAGTCTGTCAATCCACGTTTTAATCACTTCCACAGAAATTTCCACCGGCCTGCCATTTTTCTCTCACATTTTTCTCTCTCTCCACCCAATTTCTCTGGTGGCTTTTTGAAGACTTAAGTTCCACTCTTTTTTTTCTGTTCTCTTTCTTACAAGGCAAATCCTGGGAGAGGTTGATGTGAAGACCAGGCAGAGCAGGATGTAAAGAATATAAACACAATTTTTTTTTTATTGTCCAGAGGGGAAAGTGTGTGTGTGTGTGTGTGTGTGTGTGTGTGTGTGTGCAGAGGGGTTGGGCTGTGGGGTCTGTAAAAGAGACGAGGACCTTATCACAGCCCAGCAGCTCTGTAATTCGCCGCCATGATAAAGTGGCAGCGCGGAAAACCTTACAAGGCTGGCACAATCCAAAGACGGATTAGGTTTTTCTGACATAAGCTTCCTGAAAAACTAATCAATCAGCCCATGCAGTATTATCAGGAGCGTGAGATTAAAGAGCTGCTCCTAATCCCCCCAACTGTACATTTTATTACACTTCCCAGTGTTAGTTGCCTTTAAATATACAATAAATAAATAATAAAAGCAAACCTAATTGAGCATGGGGAAGGGGAGACGGGTTAAAGAGTCCTTAGAGAGGGAATTTGTGTAGAATTTGTGTTTTGTTATGAAGACGAGGATAAAACTGTTGTCCTTGCCAGAGCCCTTTCCGATTTGAATGGAGCATTGCTGTCTCACTCTGCCACATTAGAGAAAAACACACAGGGGGAACTTTAGAAAAAAAAAAAACATCAGGCGGAATTTCACAACAGTTTAAGCGACAAAGACGATCTTTGTAAAACCTCATCCACCTTTGATCTTATTTATTCGTTTCGTATTTGGTCATTTCGCGGGACGAGCGAGTGCGTGCCGACAAATAAAGTTGACAATTAATGCCAAATCCTTCTAGAAGTCACTTGTAATCCCTTTAATCACCTCACATCACAGTTGTTCTGCTAAAGTCGGAGCATGGTATGATCCGGAGTATGAAACACACTCGGCCTGCTGGTAAACCAGCTCAGCTTAGTTTCAAGCTGCAACTCACACATTTAAAAAAAAAAAAGCTTTCTCCTTCTCTACTTGGTCCAAGCCTGGTGAGGGAGGCGGGGGGGGCATTTCTGGTGTCAGAACGTTGCTTTACGTTTAATACAGCCACTGATCTTTTCAGCACGGGCCACTTGATTGCTTTTTTAGCAACAAGAAAGGAAGAATAGAAACGGAATAGCCTTTGTCAACATCCTCGAGTACTTTATGCTGAGTCCACTCCCACTTTACCCTCCTTTCAGTCTGTGGGAGCAGAAACAGGGGCCGGATAGGAAGAGGGGAGATGGCAAAAGAGCAGAGAGCAGTGCTCAAACACATTCCGTCTTTATCTACATTGTTTTACTCTCGTGGCACAGAGGATCACTGCAGCAGATGTCGTGGGGGAGAATGGATTCTCCCAGGAAGGCTTTGACCCTCTTATTTGTCCCTGGGGTTGGGCACAGATGTCAGGGCCGGGGTTACGTTTTCCCCCCTCTTGATTTGTGCAGTTTATTTAGTCCCACTTTAAGATTGCGTACATGTGTGTGTGTGCATGTTGAAAAGAAGATATGTCTGTTTATGTGTGAGTTTATGGTTTGGTTTTATGTCAAATTTGAATCCCATTCGCCCCTCCCTAACCTGCCTCCAACTTAACCTGAGAGTCTTTTAAGCTGAAGGGAAATAAAGCTGATTCCGAGCCGAGGAGGTTTTTGGCGCGCTCGTTTGACGCTTTTTCCTTAATATCTGCTCCGTATTGTGTCACGTTTAAGCCTGTGAACATGTGACAATATTGATAATAGCTGATGTGTCCCCCCCCCCCCCCCCAAGTCAGACATTTGGGGGTGTGCTGGGAAGGAAGCCACTGAGGCATATAAAGAGAGCCTCTCCAGGGAGCCAGCCCGCCTCTTTTTCTCTCTGGAGGCACAGCTCCCAACAGACACAGCGCTGATTACACCAGAGCAGACAGCACTTTGCTGCCGCAGCTGCACAGTTCAAGGCTATCTTTAAAGGGGCCCTCTTTGAGGATCCAGCACAGATGTGAAGAACTTCTTCAATCGTGTAGCATTTTCCGTTCCGAGTCTGATCACGGAAAGGGATAATCGCGATAAAACCCGCAATGTCCAACAAATACAGAAAGAGAGAAAGAGGACAACATCAGCAGATGTCGATCAGAGTGGACAAAGACCTTTAAATTTCCCTAAAGACCATGATCTTTCCTTAAACCAAAAGTAATAACAATAATATAAACAGATAAACTAGCGAGAGATTAAAGTTCAGAGGCTTAACTCAATCACCTTCTTGAACAGACCAAATAATTTTCCACATATTCAGAGACAAGATCGTTGTACAAGTTGCACGAATTTCCATCTATTGTTCAAAGACAACGCTTTTTCCTCCAGCCTAATTTTTGATGGACTAAAATAAATTGAACAGATGTTCCAGATTCAACCTGCAGGTCAAACCTTGTTTGTGTCCAGAAACAAAATGAGTTATACTGGTTGCTATGCACTTATGTACACCTCATACAGATTAAGTCCATTTTGGACAAGCCATAAGAAAGAAAAACAGAGTGCTAATACCAGCAAATGAATTCCAAACAACACTTTTGATAGAAATGGCTTCTAAACTCCGAGAGCAACCCAAGAGTAAACACTACATTAATTTGATTTGCTCCCTGACATTATCTCCATTTTCCCCTCACAAATATTACAGCGTTGTTAATTTCCAACTATGCCTCTGAATAACTTTGAATGTTATTATAGTAGTTTAGATAAGAAATTCAAACCTGTTAAAGCATGTTTTTTTAAATTTTTGAAACCGGCAATACATAAAATGCATTTTATGGAATCCTAACAAGAAAAGGGCAGCTTCTCTGATATGTTTTTTTTCTGTTAAAAACTATACAGAAATCTAAAATTCCCCTCATTGTGCAGATTTTGAGAGATGCTTAATTCAAACAGATTTGAAAAAAGTCAAACTCCTTCTGGTATATATAGGTCCATGATGCAGATTTACATCATTTTAAAACACAAACCAATTTAGTTTAGAATGTGCTTTACCCCTCTGCACAAGACATCTTGATCGTAAAAGAAAAATCAACATTTCTGCACAATTAGCCTACTTGCACTAAATCCTCTTACGCCTCACCTGGTGCAGGAGGACAAACAACAGGAATGTTTGCAGGGAACTCATCTTCGAGGACTTCTGGGCTCTTATTGGCGGCGGACAGCGGTTAAATCCTCTCTGGGAGACTTGGAGAGGTGAAGACGCGCATGCCGCTCGCACATCGCTGTGATCACCTGCGAGTAAAGTGGAGACATTTAGCCTACCTCCTCAAAGCACTTCATGCGCCCCGCGTGTGAGATTCACGAGGAACACGGACGGGGGGTATTTAATTCCCATCAAAGAAAGGAATAATGAACTTTTCCTTACTGTGTTTCAATGGCAATACCTCCCGGTGCGACCATCCTTGTTCAATCCACTTTCGGTCAAGAGTTCTACAAAATCCCCAACCCCCCCCCCCCCCCCCCCCGAACCTCTCCGGTGTCTCGGGATGTTGGAGGAATCTCCTATGAGAGGCTGGGACTCTACGGACGAGACGCGACGTCTACATTCACTCCTCTAAGTTTCAAATCCAGCCAAGTGGAATAAACTAGATTTTGTCCTATATATGATCCAGAAAGGATATTAACACGAAGTTGCCGTGCGCTGGAAGCCCGTATCCCGGAGCCAGCACTGCGGTCAGACAGACAGACAGACAGACAGCAGTCTGTGCGCTCCTCAGCTCTGTTGGATTTCAGTGCGCAAAATCCTCCGCTGCGCGCGTAAAGACTCCAAGGTCGGGCGCGCATCCGTTCACGGAGCCCGGACCTAAACACCAGCCTCTGAAGTCTCACTCTCTCCGTTGAAGAGATAAGCAAGAGTCTTGATGTCACACTTATCCTGGTTTCTTTTTTTTTTTTCGTCCAGCAACATGTCCACGTGTTTAACCCCTTCAACACGGGCAGTCTCAAGCAAAGAATTCATTATTTCAAAATAGGAAGCTTTTTCTTCCATAAGTCTGAATTTATTAGAACAACAAATAAGACATATTTGTTTTATCCTTACGCATTTTAGGTCCACATCAGAAGTTTGTTACTTATTTCTATTTGTGCTGTACTTTCAGCTCAAAGTGTTGGCAAGGCTACTCAAGAGTACACAAAAAAAAAACACGATGATGAATCTTACTCTTTTCATTGTCCTGACCACCAGAGCACATAGCAAAAGGTCAAACTATTTACTCAGTGCTGTGCCACAGGCCATGAGACTGGTGTGTCCAAGGGTCCGTCCGTGGGAGTTTCTCGCCATCTAGTGGTTGCAGATTTTAAAGTTGCTGTTGATTTTGCTGATAGACTCACTGAAAAGGAATGGGTGGGCCACTTCCAGTTTCCTCCTTTGTTATAAATTATTCAAACCAGTCTTTTTCTACTGCTGTCCAACAGTTCAGTCGTTTTGGAACACGAGCGTTTAGCTTCAAAGAATCATGTATCTATATTAAATTATGATATGTTGCATTTATTTATGAATTTATATTTATCTTAATGGCAAATGTTGGGCTTTGATTCAATATTTGGTTTTAACTTTAGACTAGAGGGGAACTTAGATTGTATGATGACTAAACTTGTAGTTTTCAAGGTATAACACAAAGTTTTCTGTATATAATCAATCTTACCAAAAATGAAGATCTGTTTGTAATATTAACTTTATGGAGGACTAAAATCCAACATATTTTACTTTCCCAAAGTTAAGTTGTTATATGAGCACAATATTTGGTCAAGATAGAAAAATGTGAAATTCCCTTCTGATATGTAGTAGATGAAGTAGCATAAAATAGCTAAATTGTAATTACCTTAAAATGCTAGTACTATGTTCTTGAGCAAACACTTAATAACTTTACCCCACTTACTGGACCAAACTAATGGTAGAATTACTGATAAGAAGACCAGAGTTCAGGCCAAAGACTTTACTGATTTGATAATACCCATATACAACTGTCAATCATAGAAATGTGTACCCAGATGTCAACCATGAAGGCATGCAGTCAGAGAGGGAAAGGGCCAGAGTACGCACGATTTATGTGAGCGCCATTTATTTCTACGAAGCATAAATATTCAAACAAACTGTATAGTCTGGACTCATCAATCTTTGCTAATGTTGACTGAAACTGCATGTTTGTAATGAACTGCTATCCTACGCCTGTCCGTCCAACTAATATTAATTCCAAACACAGACCAGGCTGTCCTAGACCATTCACACAAATTGCTGGCAGGTTATAGATATGAATTGATTAATAGAATAAGGCCACTTGATAAGGCTTTGTCACTGATTAAGAAGAGCTTTGACTGACTGACAAGAAAGATACGGCGGAACAATCACATTAGTTAAATAGTTCACAGCCTTTTATTACATTATCGGCGAACTGATTAAACACAACCTATGGAGCCCATACTTTGACATTTGAGGTTAACAAGATGAGAATTTAAAAAATACTCAAGCTCTTGTGACATAGCAAAAGGAAAAAATAGCAAAAGATTTTATATAGTGTATGTCCTGTTTGTTGTTGATGACATAAAAAACAGAGAAATCGCCTTTTGGAAGAATGTATCTTAATATACTTAGCACCACCATCTGGTTAAATACTAGAATCACCTTGGACATTTCCAACAATCACCATGATGGTGCAAAACCTTTGCATGGAGACTCTGATAGTAAGTGAGGTTGAAAAGCATCTGTCTCTACAAAGGGACAGCATGGGTTTCGAAGAATAATCTCTTGACTGAATTAGCTCAGACCTTATTTTACTTCCTGTTCACAGGACAAGGCCGACAACTATCTCACTCCGAAGGCAAGCTCGATTCTTGTGAGATTTGAATCATGAGAGAAAACAGTGTAGCAAACCATCTGGTATGTCAGATAACTATCGGTCTCCAGCGCAACACAAGGGCAAACCATGGTCTTTAAACACTTCTTATCTAATTATCAATAGGTGCAGCAACACATGTATAGACTAATTTGACCTGTAATGCTGTCCCTTCGTTGTATGCCCTTTTAAGTCTTGCTGTTTGTTCCCTGTAATTACTAAATCTGGTCCACTTTAGTCTCTTCTATCTAATTTTCTTTTCTTTTCTGATTTACAATTCATATCATATAATACAGATCATTTTCTTTTATTTGCTTAATTGTCAGATTTGTTTCCTTTCTATTGATAGTTTTGCACCTTTTCTTAGATTATTTTTACTTTTTAAAAAAAGGTGTTGAGTCGAATTTTGGTATTCTCTGTCCAGTTTGTAACTTGCAGTTTTGGACAAAGAATGATTTACCTCTCTTACTCTTTGGACATCTGTTTGAACCCTGTAGGTAGTTCAATAATTGATCCATGCATAAAATCGAAAAACAAACAAACAGAACCAAAAAAATGTGGCTTTTTGCTGCATCTCTGTACAGTCTTATCAAATCAGTCGTGTCCCACATTAGATCAACAACAGAACACCATAGGCGCTCACAAAAGAAGACTGGCAGCATTTGTGGAGTAAAGGTTGTGTAATTGTGTTATCATTGTAGAAAAACGAGTGTAGTCGCTGGATTATTTTTCTGTACCGTGAAGCAAAGATTGATTACAAAGAGTGTGTATACACTAAGGTGTGGTGTTTGTATCCCACCTTTCTTTCATCTGCTGCTCCAACTCAGGCATGTAAGGCTGAATAGTCTCTAAAAGGGAGGGGTAGGTGATGGGGCAGTTTCTTGAAACGTCCTCCAACAACTGCTGCCTCATACTTACTTAAAGCAGCAAGCCTCACTTTGGTTTTGTGGTGTACCCCTCAAACAACTGCAGGGTTGTGATTTGTTTCTGACAGAGACCTGGACTTTGGGCCTTTTCTGCATGTGGAATTACAGTGCTAATTTCCTTAATGGTGTAATTCTTCTGGTAACAGTATTAAACTAAAAGCTTCTCTATAAAGCCAACAGGTTGTCTGTTGCATAACTTTCTACAGGGAAATATTTGAGGTGCAAACAATTACACTTAATGTCTCTCGTGAGTTTTCAGTGTTCTTTTATTGGCCCCTAATCCTCAGTTTTAAACATGTCATTTTGACAGGTTAAGAAAAGATTACGTAACTGTTTATACATTCCTTTTCATTTGTGAATCATTCTAATCATCACCCTGAAACCAGATCTTATCCTTTTTTTTAACCACTGAAAGAACAATGTTGCGTGAGAGCAAGTAGATCAGTAAAGCTAGACTAGACCAGATTGTTTTCCTGTGTGTTTTTTAAAGGATTCTCCTTGTAGGGGTGTCTTTGTATACTGTCGTTGTGATTGATTTTGGTGGAACAAGGACATGAACATAAAATGGAAAAAAAATCCTAATTGTATCTGATATAGAATGTGTTTTACAGTTGAAAGCAACAGCTATTCCGTGAAGTCTTATCTCAAAACCTACCCCATCGTAGTTATTTTACTCCTCTTTGTCTTATGTTTGTTATTTTTCTAAAGAGAGACGGATCCATGCTCATGGATGCTTGAGATCCTCAGTTAGCATAGTTACAGATATTTTACCTTATATAGAGAGCACACAATGAAACGTCATGGATTGATGAATGCGTTAAACATTTATATCACATCTAGACAAAGGTTTGCTAACTATGATAATGATAAACTGCAAATGCTTAACTTAAAACACTTCCACTCTACTAATGAGACATTTTGTTGGTAATTTTTACAAAACAGAGCAAAGAGTGTTTGTGCCCTCCATTAAAACATTTCTGGGATTAGTCTGGTTCATGCAGATAAATGGGGTCAGGGTGACTTATTATCCTGAATGAACTTTATACTTCACTTTCATAGGTTGACAGTAATAGTCCAAACAACTGAGAAAAAAAGCTGTGGAGAAAAAAAGTAGGAGGAAATTAAAAAATGCTAACGTCAACAATTCTCCTCTGATCTAGTCTCTTTTAGAGAAATAGTCTCTAAAGCAGAAATTGGAAAGCTGCCCATCCCCACTCAATCCCACCGAAACCTTTGTGGACAAAGACCGCCCCTCTTCACAGTTTCAAAAAATGAAGCCCTGATAGTGCCTCTCCTTTTTAAAAAAAAAAAAAAACATTGTGAAAGAATGAGTGGCCTGAAAACATGCCTCTTTTCTGTTTTTGTGGGGGAGAAACACAGCCCATTCCAGAGCCAAAGAAAAACAGTTATTTGTGCCTCAGGCATAAATTCGTCACTTTCCAGGAGTCTTCACAAACCTTCCTCTTGTATCTTACAGTATTTGGGTCAGATGTTAACATTATCACAGTCAGCGCAACGGTTGCTGGATAAGCATGTTGTAACCAAAGTTTAAAATTCCATGCATCACATTGTTGGTTTGATGTTATCAGCCCCCCCCTCCAAAGAGAAGGGTGTTGGTTTCCTATTACAAGCTCCTTTGCACGCCACCGCTCTCATTAGAAATGGTTGCATATATACCTGTTTGCGTGAGACTAAAGAAGTCGAGGGGGGGGAAAAAAAGGGCAAATGCCTTGAAGGCGCGGACGTGTCTGTTTTTCTGTGGGGGGAGGAGTGGGAAGGATCAGCCAAAGCAAACACAGGACTTTGCCCATATGGGGAGACAGCACATGCATTGCAACCATGACTTGCAAGACTGTGTAAGTTTGAGTTCACTTCAAAAACAATCCTACTGCAATAAATACAGTTATTTTAAAGAACATATTACCTGTGCTGAGTTTAAGGGAACACAGCAAAATGATTAAATCACTAAGAGTAGTCAAAGACACAATTGCTAGGACTTTCCCCCCGCCTCAAATTCCACTGGGAATCTCCTCTCTGTCTTCCTGCGGTTATATAAGAGCTCCACTCAAAATGCAGCATGCACTTCCTGTGTGGGATTCAAACACACTCGCTCACTCACGCACACATGTAAAGCCTCCTCTTTTAACAACAGGCACCGCGCTAGTTCTTTCAACGAGTCAGCTCGCAGAGCGGAGAGAAAGGCAATGAGTAGCGGGGTGTGGTTTCCTACGGCGGGACTGCTGGCCTGGCTATGCTGCCTCAGTCTGGGGCCCGTTCAGGGGGGGAAGGTGCTGGTAATGCCCGTGGATGGGAGCCACTGGCTCAGCATGAAGATACTGGTGAAGGAACTTAGCCAAAGGGGCCACCAGATCACGGTCCTGGTGCCCGAAAGCAGCCTGTTGATCAAAACCTCAGACGGCTACGAGACCGAGATCTACAAAGTGCCCTACACCCAAGCCGAACTGGACGAGAATTTCAACAAGCTCAAGGAAGGAGTCTTCATCAAAGCCCCCGGGATCCAAGATTTGTTTGCCAATGTGCAGCGCTTGGTGAACTTCACCTCGCTGCAGGTCATAGGATGCGAGGGTTTGCTGAATGATGGAACTTTGATGAATCGACTGAGGGGATCCGGGTTTGAACTCATGCTCACAGACCCATTTCTTCCCTGCGGCTCTGTCCTGGCGAAAATGTTCTCCATTCCAACTGTTTATTTCCTCCGTGGGCTTCCATGTGAGCTGGACATCAAGGCGAACAAGTGTCCCTCTCCTGTTTCCTACCTTCCTGTGGCTTTCTCCGGCAACACAAACCACATGAACTTCCCCCAAAGAGTGAAGAACTATATGACGTCTATTTTGGAGTCCTATTTGTGCAAAATAATGTATCAACATTTCGATGATCTAGCCAGCCGGCGTTTTGGAGGAGACATGACTTATAGAGAACTAATAAGCCACGGGGCTATCTGGCTTCTCAGATATGACTTTACTTTTGAATGGCCCAGACCTCTCTTGCCAAACATGGTTTTAATTGGTGGGATCAACTGCGCAAAGAAAGCCCCTCTGCCAGCCGTGAGTATGTTAATTTTTAAAAGGATAAACACGCATGCATCCCATCTGGACTCACTTAGGGGCTCTGAGCTCAATCAGGCTAAAGCAAATGGCAAATTCTAATGTAATGAAGTTTCCAAAGTACCAGAAGAGCTCCAGAAAACTGTTTATTCAAGCATTTTTCCTTTTTTTTGTCAACTTGTTAGAATAAATATAGAAGAGACTGAATTTGATGTCTAAACTGATAATTGACAAGAGACACAAAAGTTACTAATTTCTTTGCTGTAATGTGAATAAGAAAAAAACCCTCTGATCTAATCCACTAATCTTTGTATTTAATCGAGAAACCAGCAACACGTCTGAGCTAATGTGAGCTTAAGTGTCTGTCAAGATGACTACCAAGTGAATTGGCTTGTTTATTTGAGATTTACTACATAACCTTGAGGTAGAGCTGTTTTTTCTATTTGTGAGGGGTAATTCAGTGATCCAGATTTCTGGACTCCTGCCAACACACGCTTGGAAAAGGGATGAGGGGCCCTGTTGTGTCAACAGGGATCAAATATTTGCGAAAACAATAGGTTTGTTGATATATAGACACAAATTCGTTTGTTCTTGAAAAATTGACAGGATTCGGTACATTTGCTGCTGATGAAAAATTACTTTGAAGTTTAAGAAAGATCCAACTTTTAGACAGAGAGGGGCTGAGGTTAAAATCTATTCTCATTTCAATTTCCCCTCCCTCTGTGCAGGACTTGAAGGAGTTTGTGGATGGCTCGGGAGATGCTGGATTTGTTGTCTTCACACTGGGTTCAATGGTGTCTGACATGCCTGAGGAAAAATCGAAACTGTTCCTAGATGCCTTTCGGCAAATTCCTCAGAGGGTAAGGATACGCTAATTAAATCACATTCAGGTTTATTCATTTCTTATCTTTTATTTGACTGTACACTCTTTAGATAAAGAGTTGATCATTCATGTGTAACTTATAAAAAACAGTCAAGCACGGATTCAAGATATTTCCACTCTGTAAGTATGTTAAAGGTCTAATCTGCAGGACTTTGCTCTTGGCCTTTGTGCAAACATGCCAAACCCCTTCACTCATTAGCTCAGCACTTTCAGCCAGTTTAAAACCTGCTGCTTTGATTTATGTTTCAGGTTGTGTGGAGATACACCGGCAAGCTACCCAAAGATGTACCAAAGAATGTCCGAGTCATGAAGTGGTTACCTCAGAACGATCTGTTAGGTGTGTTTCATTTCCTATACCTGCTCTTTCATCCTGCCTACATTATCGAGGGGCTGTTTGGGAATAAACTAGACCTGTAATTCTGGTTGTGTCTGTGCTCCTTAGCCCATCCCAATGCTAAACTCTTCATGACCCATGGAGGTACCCACGGTATCTATGAAGGCATCTGCAATGGGGTTCCCATGTTGATGTTCCCCCTTTTTGGGGACCAGGGAGACAACGTGGTTCGCATGGTGTCCCGGGGTGTCGCAGAGAAGCTCAGTATATTTGACGTGACGCCCGAAACACTGTTAGCGACACTGAAAAAAATAACCAACGACAATGGGTAAGGCAACTGGATCAAGAAACGCGGTTTATGAGATGCAGTGATATAGTTGAACTAATCTGATGTCTGTGAGGAAGAGGAGTACAAAAAATGATCAATTTACCTGAATATTTGCTTTTCATCAGTTACAAACAGCGGATGACGGAGCTGTCCCAGATACATCTGGACAGGCCCGTCCCACCTCTCGACTTGGCTGTTTTCTGGACCGAGTTCGTCTTGAGACACAAAGGAGCTGAACATCTGAGGATAGCTGCGCATGATTTGAACTGGATTCAGTACCACAGCCTGGACGTCGTCGGCTTTCTGGCCGTCGTTCTCATAATTGTCTCTTGGCTGACACTGAAATGCTGCCTGTTTTCCATCCGTAAGTGTTGCGGAAAGAGAATTACCAAGAAAAAGTCAGAGTAAAGTATCCCACTAAGTGAGAGGTATGATCCGAGGTGTGGAGTTTCATCGTGGTGAATTGTGCTCTATGGGTGTGTGTATTTACATCATCTGTGTGCACCCATGTGTTTGCAAGACATTTCTGCATTTGGCTGGGAGCACATGTATAAAAATTATTCTGGCTGTGATTGTTTAAAGCCACTTATCACTCCCATAAAAAATTGTATTTGAAACAAATACATCATTCAAAAATATAGCCATTAAATGCTTTGTAACAGTTCAAGCTCAAAGCAAAAACACACATCTTCATTAGTGTTTTCCAGTTATTTTTTTACAGACCTGTGAATTAAATGTTGCTAAATGAATAGTCTTATTTACAAAAGCTCCATTTCCTAAGGTCCACTCATCCTTACCTGATAATTTACTATGTTTTGTAAGACTACATGTCTTAAAAATCAAAAACATCAGTAATGTACATGTGTTTACAAATGTGTTATAATTACTCTTAATTTACTATGATATTGAGATGATATTCATAGTATCTATCAATCAGAAAGTGCTATGCAGGCAAAAAAATCATCTTATAGTAATAAAGCCAGCAGCATATTGAATAGCCTGTGACATCAGAGTAAGGCATTGAAGGACTGTATGACAAGATAAGACAACAGTTGAACAGTTTTTTTGTACAACATGGATGAATAAGTGTTAACTAAACAGACATGATGCACATCTGGAATGGTAAAATAGTTAACCTCTTACCTCTTTTATCTCAGTTTAAACACTGTTTGTTTCCTGTATATTTCTTTCTAGGTAGTGTAGCTTCTTTGTGTAGCTCCTCTGTGAAGAATCTTGAGGGACATTTAGCTTTTTTCCTTTGTTTGGAGTTCTGTGTATTGTACCCATTACAATATGATGGCGCCCATCGATCCACCATACAGTATTTGTTTAAATGCCTTACGTGTGAACCCGACTTGGTGACCTAGGCCATCTTTTTTCCTGTTTTGAATTATTCCTGGCACAGCTCTGCAAAGAAGAATGCGTTTGATTTTCCAAACAGAGAACTATGATCGCTATTATCATGATAAACAATATGTTAATATGGCACTATAAACAAAAACAAAAAGGAAATATTATATAAGTCCAAAGACATCTATACTTTTAAAAACTAACATATACGTTTTCCGAAATAGTAAGAAATTGAAACCCAGAAAACACGACATACTGCAGCTTGGTATTGAATTGTTTCTGCAAAACCTCCATGAAATGAGCCTATAGGTGCTAATAACCTGGTGCTCCACCTTTCACATCTTTTTGCAGAACACAAATTTCATCGAAGGATTTTTTTTTTTCTTCATATTTAAACTTGTTAGAAATCTTGACTAAAAATCAGTCCCATTCTGATTGTATCAACTCACAGTTACATAAAAGGGAAGGGAAGCGCTTGCACGTACTTCAACTTCCGTCAAAGAAAGTGAGAAGTAGCTGAGGTGTTGCATCAGACCTAAGGGGGGGAATAACTCAATAACCCTCCCGTTCATGTTTGCTGTTGATCGACTACAGCCTGAGTAAATGGCGAGGTCCAGTACTGACAGCTATGTATACTACTGCATACTGCTACATACTGTAAATGCACTAACTCATATAACTCAGGTTCAATAAAAACCTTTGTTGATTTACATATTTCCTCAGTCCTCTTTCTCAGTCTTTATTCCTCTTTCATATAATAGTTGTGTCCCACAGACACAATTGATTCTCATTTAGATATTAACCATCATGTCCATGTTGTAATTTATCTACACTGAAGATACTGAAAGTTGGCAATCTGCATACCAGGTAGATCAGTATCTCTTTGTATTACTCTCTTACTCCCCATGGCCAAATGTTCCATTAATCTAAATTTTTTCTGTGCTTATATTGTAAGGCAACCGTTATCCAGAATATAAAGCACTGAAGCTTTGGTCTTTCTCTTTCAGAACAACTCTCTCTGAACTATACCTGCTAAGGTTTTCACCAGTTTTGTCGAATAATTCTCTGAAAATCAGATTAACTTGTGTAATAAATGTTGCATTCACGCTTTATGAATCTTAGAAATACCTCTCTTACTTTAAGTCAACAACATGATGTTTCCTTCATTTAAGTATACAACCAGGAAGCTAATGTATAAACTCAGTTGCCCTCTGAGCTGAAGTTAGTTTAATTTAATTCGCAAAATGAATGTTGATTTATTATCAACCAGCTAGTCATCCTTTTTCATGGTGCATGATTTTTGGAAAATGGACTTGGCTAAATTTAGTTGTAAAGTGGTTTAAAGGGTAAACCTGCCACCCACACACACAGGTAGGTTTCATAGTTTGTGGTCTGTGCACAGACACCAGTGGAGCTGCATAGCGCTCTGTTGAGGTACGACCACCTGTTGACCACGTAAACGCTGGGGTTATGTTGGCAGAAACCTCTTTTTTCAACCCCTTGTCTTCCTCTTCCTCAGAAAACCGGTTCTAAAAGTAAATCCCGCAAATGGCCGTTGAAAGGAAGCTGAATGACTCACCCCCTTCACTCCACCATCTGTAGCATTTTAATATCAAGAGGTGGACTCTACTTAATCTCAAGAGTTCATCACCAACAATTTCAAAGTATATCAATCCACTAATTATCCATCCAGGCTACAAACCTTTTTCTTAAAAAAAACAGCTTTCAGTATATGAAGTGAAGTTCAATTCTTTAGAAGTCACATTCTGTGGAATCGAGGTCAAAAGGTATGCTTTAATGTTTGCCTCCACGTGTTTGGCTGTAGGTGAAGCAGCGTGTGTGGTGGAAAGTGAGAGTTGTATAGAGCTTTGTGAGAACTGTGGTGGGCTTGGCTCAAACACGTACCCACATAAAAACTACCAGTCAACCTCATGCCCTCCTTTAAAATCATGGTCCTCAATAGACAAAGTGTCTACCAAGAAAGAGGTTGTTAGCAAAACGGCTCTAAACGGCTGATCTTAAATCTGATCAAAATACTGTTTATAAATGAAAAAAAAAAACATTAAAGGGACCAAACCGAAAAAAATTAATAAAAAAGACAAAGAATCATCAGTCCAAACCATTAGACCAAAGACACATTGGCAGCTTTCTGAAATGAGGATATATTGGGCTCATCTCTGACACGTCTCACACCCGCCACATGCAGCAGTCAGCCAAGTGGGACTGCAGCACCTGCTTTTGCATCAACATTTTTGACACCTACCCACAAAGTTTCCGTTTCTGATAGTTTGGAGCTTGACTAGAAAAGGTGGTGGTCGGGGGCACAGCGCACAACACTCTTCTGCCTTTTCTCTCCACGCGACCATGACGGGCACCTGCTGCATCGCTTACGTCCTCCTGCTGGTCCCCTTTACCGGTAGGATCAGGTGAAATCCTTCTAAAATTCAATTGAGAATGAGATCAATTCAGCTACAAGCTGTGTAGTGATATGAAATGTTCTTCTGTGGAAAGGAGCAACAGGGGATGGTATAATTGGTGGAAGGGTTGCAAAGGCTCACTCCAGACCCTACATGGCATCCCTCCAGTTTGGAAATCATCATTCATGTGGAGGGATACTTGTTCGAGAAGACTACGTTCTAACTGCTGCACACTGCAAACAGTGAGTTTTTTTAAGTGAAAAAATACTTTTTTTTTTTACAATAATTTCCACTGCATAAGAATTCATCTCCATATACAAGCAAGACTAAAAAAAAAGTTGTAATATTTTGTATGTAGTACGTTTCAAAATGTTTAGCAAACATGTTGAATATTATTATTTTCAGGCCTCAAACTATGACTGTGTTGCTTGGAGCACATAACAACAAGGAGACCGAGAAAAGTCAGCAAAGGATCCTTGTGGCAAAGTATCACCAGCATCCACGATTCACCGGAAAATACGATTATGATATTATGTTACTTAAGGTAAGCTAAAACTGCTAAAAAATACATAATACATTGAGATTTAAAAAATAAACTCAAGTATGTTATGATTTTAAGTTGATTTGAAGTTTAAAGTCTTCTGGTATTTCATGATGTCACATTTGAACTGATGTGTTGCTGCTCTTTGATGAGAAATCCACATTAAACTCAAATGGAAAGTGAATAGAAAAAGCCATTTGAAATACAATGAAAAGAAAAAAAACGTTCCCCCTTTTCTTTACAGTTAGAAAAAAATGCCACGCTGAATAGGTTTGTGAAGCCCATTGGCCTACCGAAGAAAAACGGGAAAATCCCTGCCAACATTAACTGCGTTGTTGCTGGCTGGGGCCGGACTGGAGACAAAGAGCCTCCGTCAGCAGTTCTGAGGGAGGCCCCTGTGAAGATGCAATTCAGCCAAGAGTGCAAATACCTTTGGGGAGAGTATTTCAATCAGGACCATATGATTTGCACAAAGGCTAACAAGAATAAAGGAGGGATATGCCAGGTAACCACATACAGCTCAGACCACAACAAACTACGTTAAACGATATCAGAGTGCATTTTCATTTTAATTTTGCGTTTTTGTTTTTAGGGTGATTCAGGTGGACCGCTCATCTGCAACAGCAAGCCTCAAGGCATAACGGCTTTCACTGCAGCAGACAACTGTGAAAACCCAAAGTATCCTCATGTCTTTATTAAAATAGGTTTCTTTATGCCCTGGATAAAGAAAGTGATGCTAGAATGAGGAAAAGCTGCTGCATGATCTTTCTTCAGTTGTTTAGGTTCGAGGTTAGTAGTGTGTGTAGAAATGTGGATGTTGTGAAAAATAAAAATCAGAATCAGAATCAAACTTAACATTTTTTATTTGAGCATGTTTGTTAGTTATTTACATAATTACATTTATTTGGAATGAGAGGTGAGGTTGGTGGGGCTTATGGGTGATTTTTTCTAACAAAAACCAACAGATTCGATGATCAAACCGCAGACCACTGCCTCTGCATTCAGGACATTAGTCATAGTGCAAAGTTTTGAAATTGAACCTCTTCCTGTCTGTGAAACCTGTCATCTGCAGGAAAAGTAAAAACAAAACACAAAAATAAATAAAGACGTATTTAAAGAGACAATCACCTTCAAATGGTCCTGTGCAATCTAATTAGTCACAATGATGTTCTAATGTTAAGTTTTGTCAGAATTTACTTTGTCCCAGTTTTTTGGAAATAATTTGCTCAAAAGAGAAACAGAAAGTATTAGACTCACTTGACTTGGATCTTTGGTGAAGTATCTCTTCTCTATTACCTGTTCAGAGATGTAAGACATGACACTTAGCATATACTCTTCGATTTGTCGAAAGAAGGCTTTGCAAAAGTAATTGAGATGGAAATTCATGTAAGATTATCATTCGCATAGACTTTCAATGTTTAAAATAATTGTATGGTTTATAATAATATTGTAATAACAGAAAGCCTATGCCTATAGCTCTTCTAAATGATCACATTCTTCATCAGAAAGTGTTGGAAAGTATTGGGTGATAGAGCCACAGAACATAAATGTCTCACCTTGTCAAAGAACCTGCTAAGTTTCACAGCATTTGATGTGCCAGCAGCAAGGTATCGTGGGTTGGTGCAGTCCTGAAAAAAAAAAAATACAGCACTTCAGCTACAAAACCAAAACTTTTTTTTTCCAGGTGTCATTCAGTACGGTATGTGTTAGTGAATAAATTCTGTGTTCAAGGGATGACAGATTTTTAAAAAATTATTAAAAACAAAAGTAATAATCTTTATCAATACACAGTTTCAATGTGTTGCACTTGATATTGCCACTAGGTGGCCCTAAAAGCCTGATTTTTAAATTGTAGATCAGAGCCAAAGTGTTTCAATAGTTTTTTTCTTTAAAATAGGGGAATTAAAAAAAAATAAAAATCAATATTCAATTTCATGTAAAATATTAGACTCTATTCACAAAAAGTGTGTGAATAAATGTGTGTTCTACAGACAAATAAAAAAGGCTTTAAAATATGATTGTACTCATTTATCACAATGATATAGTAGTAATGGGTCTATTGCTTTCACCCACAAGATTGATCTCTTCTGCATTGAAATCTTCGGATAGGAAAGTCGTCCGGGTGAGAACGTCACTGCGTTTGCTCTCTGGAATCTGGTCAAACTTGGTTCCAATCAGCAGTAAAGGTACTGGGTTCTCAGCAAACTGCTCCCTGTCATAGTCACTGGAGCCAGGAGAAAAAAAGAAAAAGAAAAGAGGAACCATTTAATCTGTGTTTCATTTTAAAACAGAGTGTAGAAGTTATTCTTTTGTAAAAACAAACATTACCCATTTGAGACGATTACTCCTGTCGGAGAGGAATCCTTATTCAATGCTTCTAATGACCAGCGGTAGAGATTCTGGGAGGATTTCTTATTGGTCAAATCATGTACCAAAATTATTCCTAGAAAAAAAAAAAGCATAAATGGACAAAGAATATTTGTACAATAATTCCATACAATGTTAGATTAGTCTGAATACTTTTTTAAAAATCCACTTTACCATTAACTGAATTATAGAAGACTGCTCTGGTGCTTTTGATACTGCTGGCACTACCAACAGATCCTCCAACATCCCAAAGCTCAATGTAGAAAGTTTTCTCCTCTGGGGTTCCCTCCTTATAGTCTTGAACCTGTAATTGAATAATTTATGTTTTTATTAAGTGTTCATGAATGATTTAAAGAGCAAAACGCATGATCTCAGAACATCTCCCAAATGAACTGGACACATTTGAGATATTTAACCTACCCGCACATCCACAGAGCAACCAACCGTCCAAGAGGGGTTTCCTAAAACCTGATTCTGGCATAGAAGATGGACCAAGGAAGATTTGCCTACCCCTAAAAATGTCAATAAAAAAAGCGGATAATTGAGAGTGTGTTAGCTCAAGAATCTCTGGTGTTTGCTCTGACAGTAGACTCCGACAATAAAACTGCTGCTAGCAAGATAGTGACAGGGCAAAAGCACCACCATGACCGACTTAAAAAGCCGACACACAGTAGAAACGGTTATTCCTTCAGAAGTAGTTGTCAGTTATCGGAGTGTCTTAGCCTGAAATAATCAGTATTGCTACTGACAACGCGTTAATTACGAGAGGATTTTAAATACTGCAAGCTACATCAGATGATAAGTTTATGACTCTTAATAAACCCTATGAACAGGAAAAGCTGAATTATCATGAAATAATGTTAGAAATAGTTTTTTTTTAAAGGCAACGTACATATCCATGTGGAATAAAATGTATAACTTGTAGAAAACTCACCAGAATCTCCCAAAACTAAAACTTTTACCCTATCAAGAGAAGCCATTTTTTATTTCTGAGTCCTCCGGAAGAAAACACAATAAACCCCGCCTATAGCAAGGACTTCTTTAGTTTGATTGGATAAAAGAATGTAAAATAAAACCAGCCCATTCGCTGAAATAGAAATTCGTCACAATTATTCAGTTTTATTGGTTATTCACTGTCTTTTTATTTACGTGGCCAATAGAAATGTAAGAGCAATTCGCTGCCGCTTCGTTTGTCTTTCCGGTGTTCTCTCAAAATAAGTGAAGTATCCAAGCTCATTTAGCAGTGTACAGGCTCTGCTATGCAAGTTGATTAATCGGAATAATTGTAGCTTTATTGCAGACAAAGTAAGCGTGTAACATTACGGTACTCTGAAATAATGTTGGGAAGGGGTTCTTGTGTGTAACAGATGGAGCAGAAAGCTTGAAGGGTAAGCTAGTGTTAACCGGCTAATGGCTAAAGACAAAAAGATTAATGCTAGCAGTAAATATGAGGATTTTTTTTCTTTTTGGATTTGAATATGACAAGATTATTAACAACCTCGTGCATCAGCTGTCAGGTAGCTGTTTGATGGATCTATTCTGGCCAGTAGTTGTGGACAGCTAGCCACACTGGTTGTTGTTTTAGTTAGCTAGCTAACGCCTAGCTAAATAAAGTTGTTTAGGTTGAGTTTGTGTTGAGTGTAGGTTAGATATTGTTGGGTGTCACGTCGTCATGCACTTAAAAATAATCAGGGTTAGAAGCCCGAAACGTCAGCTGTTTGAACCAAGTTTCCATACACATAAGATAAAGCCAAGAAGGAAGACATGTTTGGTATTTCCTGTTACTAGAATGCTTAATTAATGTTCCAAATCCTATAAGCCGTGGTATCTACGATGTCATTAATTACTTTGCTGCATCTCAGTATTTTAAAGTTTTATTGTCTCCACAGCAGCGAAGAAAAATGATTGAACCAGAGCTCCTAACGGAGGTCCCTGCATCATTGAAGCGACTTGCCAAGCAAGTTGTAAGAGGTTTCTATGGTGTGGAGCATGCCTTGGCCCTGGATGTGCTCATCCGTAACCCGTGTGTACGTGAAGAAGACATGCTGGAGCTGCTCAAGTTTGACCGCAAACAGCTGCGTTCTGTACTCAACACCCTAAAAGCAGATAAGTTTGTGAAGTGTCGAATGAGAGTGGAGACAGCTCCTGATGGCAAAACAACACGGCACAACTACTATTTCATCAACTACAGGTTTGATTTTTTTTTACTAGCATTTTACAGCAAAAATGCTGGTGATATCAAATCTGAATTTTTGTTTCTTCCTTTTTTTGTGGTCATTTTACCTATAAGGGTCCTGGTCAATGTTGTCAAATATAAACTGGATCACATGAGGCGGCGCATTGAAACGGATGAACGAGACTCCACTAACCGGGCATCCTTCCGGTGTCCCTGCTGCTTCTCCACCTTCACTGACCTGGAAGCTAACCAGCTTTTTGATCCCATGTCAGGTAAACGCTAAACGCCAACCATCTTGGTCCTATTGTACTTTTGAGTTTGTCATTATTTTGATACTCTAGTCTTAATCCGACTTACACAAAGTTGGAGCATGAACATCACACAAGATGAGTGTTGGTGCCATTTTCTATGGAGTAATTTATGCTCATGTTTAGTTATTATTTTGGATGATTTTGGTTCTATGTTTTCATAGAATATTTATGATAGCAGTTTACTAAGTTATTGTTTTGCTAATTATAATTGATTTTAGTTTAATCTGAATTTATTTTAATGTTTAAAATGATCTTCACTAAACAGCCAATAGAAACTGACGCTGAGCGATAACGTTCGGAGCTCGCGCTTTGTTGAATGTAAACTGACGTTTTTTGTCTGTTTAGAATGTTCAGTAAAGACGGGGTGAATACACCGTTTTCTTCGTCGTTAAAACCTTAATACGCGTAGACTCGTTCTTCCCGTCTGAAAGAGTGGTTATTTGCATTCGTCAAAGAGAAGAAAGTCAAGAAAGGACATTTAGCCACTACAATGAGTTCAAGTCAGCTTTTAATGTGATGCACTATTATCTATCATTTGTGGTGTGTTGAGTGAATCGCCTCTAGATGGCAATGATGTCATACATTGAGTTTATGTCTTTAGTATTGGTTTATGTAGAAGTAGTTTTCTGTCCAGAACTTTGCTTCTCCATGTGCATGATGCCACCAATAGTTTTGTCAAGATGATAGTATTTTTCCTACAGCTAGATGTGCTAGAAACAATGGAATAGTATTTCAAAAGTTGTTCAACTGTTTTTTTTTGTTTGTTTTTTTTGTTAGTTTTTTGCGGTCAAAATTCAAGTCCCATCAGTTTAACAGTTGTTATTTGGAGACTCTAGAAATATTTAAATGAACAACTTAAAGCTCCATGCTTACAACTTCCGGCTTGAGGACTGAGGGCTAGTCTGCCTATTCCTTTGCATTTGTGTTTATGTCATATGTTGCTGCTGGTCTCTGTTTGAGCTTTGGAGGCAGTAACTTTACTCCCTGACAGAATAAGTACTTGGAGCTCTTGTGGAATTGTGATTGACTGTTTGCCTCTGCAGGGTCAGCAACGCTCAGTGTGTTCTCAAGGGGATGGGAAATGACACTGTTGGTCTTACAGCTCAATCTGGCCCAGTAAAGAGAGCCAAAACCCTGCAGCTCTGAACTCTCATAGTGGGCATTATGAATGCTGTCGTGTGTTTTGGGGAATAGGCTTTTCTTTTTTCCTGTACCTCAGATGCAGAAGCAACCTGTTTGGACATGTGTGCTCCTTGTTTTTCTCTCTCATATGAATACAAGGAGACAAAGCAAATGTGAAGTCTGTGCTAATTTTAGAACGGATCTGTTATTGAAACTAAGATCAGCAAGAGAAGCAGATGGTCACATGTGCCCTTCGCTCACTGTTAAGCAAAGATTGAGGCACAGTGTTCCGCAGTCCTTAAGAATATATTTATGAAATTATCCACACAAAGAGATCAACACTGATGAATAAAGCTATTTAGCTTGTTTTTGTCATTTGCTTTACCCTTTTTTGTAATTTAAAGCCACAGTGCTCAGAGGTTTTTTCTTCATTTGCAGGAACATTTCGCTGTACTTTCTGCCAGACAGAGGTAGAAGAGGATGAATCTGTTTGTCCTGATGGCAGGACACTGGTAGCACGCTTTAATGAGCAAATCGAGCCCATCTATGCACTCTTACGTGAGACGGAAGATATTAACCTGTCCCATGACCTGCTGGAGCCTGAACCTGCTGAGATCCCTGCTCTGAAACAGAGGTCAGTTCCCACAAGTCTCACAGCAGCACACCATTTGTGACCCGTGTCAGGATCTTATTGGTCCACGTGGGGTTAGAATCTGCTTCTCAGCAGGAATAGCAGCAGTAAGTTAGACTTGATTGGTTGGCATTTCTTATCTAATAAGATATTCAATGAAAATTTCTCCAGCCGGGAACGCGCTGCAGCTGCTGGAGCAAATGCCGGTGGTCAACATCGCGAGGCCTGGTCTAACAAAGGATCTTCCTACGCTGACCTCTACACCCAGAATGTGGTGATCAGTATGGAGGAGCAGGAGGAGCAACAGAGGCAGGACAATGAGGGCAAGGCGCCTAAGGAACGGCCAGTATGGTTGACCCACAGCACTGTCCAGGGTGCTTACAGTGAGCCTGACGCTCTCAAAAACCGTAAGTGGGTCGTTCTTTGCTCATAAATACAGTATCATGGATTTCTGTTTATTTTGTTTCTTAATATACACATTTTTTTAAAATCAATTTTTGCTTCTGTTTTTTCCAAATTTGAATTTAGTGGGGCAAAATGAAATTGGCATCTTTTCCTACTGTGACCAATTACTCCAGACAGCTCCTTGGACATTAGCGATTATCTCACACGGGCCGGTTTTACACATTCATTCTGCTCAGACGAGTGTTTGAATTATTTACAAGTTTGTTTATGGCATCTTGGAAAGTCTACAGTTATGGGATCTTCTGACATGATGGCTGCTGACAATTCAGTGATATTGGCGAACTTCATAATTCACTCAAATCTACTTTTCAAGACTTTTGGACCATGTTTTTCCAGGCTCACAGAATTCAGCTTGAAAACACTTGCAGTTTAATTTGCTTTAGACCTCCAGCAGTGACACCCTTTGATATTATTTTATATTATTACACAAAGTCCTCCTGTGAGGACGATGATGTTGGATTTCATCACATTCAGTTTTCTGGTTTAATCATTGAAATTCTGCTGCTTGTTCACGATGGGGTGTATTGAGCTCACTGGGTTTTCAGAATATGAAAATTTGTGGGGAAGATTGACTTTTTAAAAGAAGAATTCAAACTTGCATGTGGCAGAAATTCAAAGTCAAAGATAAGGAAGACTGGCATTGTTTCTGTAACCAAGTGCATGCTGCAATGGACCAGGTCAGGCTTTCGTTCTGCCATAGAATCACATTTTATTGGTATCGAGCTGAGCGACTGTTGCTCATAAAGTGTTTTCCTGTAGAAATTCCCAACCTAATGAAGGTATTCTGTCTCTATGATGTGCCTCTGCATCTGTCTTTGAAGATTTGTTTTCCTTTGATGCTTGCTAAAAGAAATATCCCTACATCTTACCGTAACCTATTTCAGCTGTCGGCGTGCAAACTAGACAGGCCACCAGTTCATCACAGAAGAAGAAATGTTTTCAGTTGGCACCAAAGTTATTAAAGGGGATGAACTGTCTCCTTGTCAGTTTAATGTTTGCCCAATGCAAAGCAATAAGTTGTTGACTATGGGCGAGAATCAACAGGTCAGAAATTGGAATCGGATGGAAAATTGCAATTGATATTTGGCCGGTGATTGGACCAAGAAATTGTCAAAGCGTCAGAGTCCAAACAATCAACATATTTTTACAAGCTGAACATGTCAATAAATGAATCCTCATTATGGTGGTTGTCACCTTGATCTACCTGCAGCGGCCACTGTTTGACTTTGGATCCAGCTGTTGTCTTGATCACTGAATAGTTATTTATTTTTCTCCTAAAAACATCATGTTGCCCATAATTAAAGCTAAAAAAAAACAAAATTATTCTGAGGCTTAGAATTGTTTTACCTTGGCCAAAACCTTAAAATCTTGAACTTCCTTATATTATTTCTAAAAGGAATCTATCTCCACAGGTGGAGACATCATACCCGGAGCCCAGGATGGAACAGCTGGTCAGGAAATGGGTAACGCAGATGAAAATGAAGAGGTGATGCGTGCGCTTCTCATCCATGAGAAAAAGGGAGTCGCTGGTGCAGGTGTGGGGGGAACAAGTGCTGCTGCCAGGGGTCTTGTGTCTGCGACGGCTAACGCCAGCGACTCAGAGAGTGACACCAGTGAGTCGGACGACGACTCTCCCTCCGGGCCTCCAGCTGCCGCGGCCATTATGCATCGTGGCAAGGAAGAGGACGAAGAAGAGGACGAGGATGACTTCGAGGAGGTGGGGGATGAGCCGATGGTGATGGTGGGAGGTCGGCCGTTCACATACAGGGAGGTGAGCCAGAGGCCGGAGCTGGTGGCGCAGATGTCTGTGCAGGAAAAAGAGGCCTACATTGAAATGGGGCAAAACCTCTTCCAAGACATGTACTTCTGAGCACACTGTCAAAATTAGGAGGGAGGGAGGGAGGCTTAAGTTGCTGTGTAGAATTTCTCAAGAGGAAAACATTATGCTGCTCAAATATCTTCATTTTATGTAATTTTGAAAGTAAGCAAACATGCTTGGACAGTGTTGCCTCAGTGATCACACCTGTAGTATTTTTTTGTCTTATTTTTTATTTACAAGTATACTCAAAGTCACCAGACCAAAAAGGAGCTGGATAGCAGCAGAGTGCCAAGCCTGATTCTTATATATATCTTTTTTTGTTTTTTAAATGTTTGCTTCTGTTTCATTTATCTATACATCTGTCTGCACATGAACTGAGCTAATGCCTCAAGTCAGTGTTATTGAATCGGCATCACATGTTTATAACTCAAGAACTGCCAAAATATGTGAGTACTGGGCAGAGCTCAGGCCGAACACTGAAGGACCAAACCAGGTCTTTCTCTCAGATTTAGTTTCTTCTGGCACACTTTACCAGACCGTCTTTAAAAGGTCACTTCATGTAAATACAGAAAGAAAGAAGATGCTGGTGAATTGTTGCAGTTAATAGCAAATCTATTGTATTTTTGGAGAGGCTGTAATAAAATGATACTAGAAAAATAGAAGTGTGCTAAATGTGCCGATACAAATGGAAACCAATTTCATGCAACTGAGGGTAGAATGAGGACACTGTACAAAAATATGACTCACAGGCAGTTAAGAATATTAGAGTTGTGAGTTCATTGATGTGCAATCTGCAGGGCAAATAATGTACTCAATTTTCTGTTTCTCATATAAAATCCCTGGTTAAAGCTCCCAGTGAGACTTTTCCTGTTTATGTCTGGTCCTGTTAAAGATAAAATCATTAATTGGGCGTGTCTATACTAGGAAAAGGCACAGCCTGCACTCCTGAACATGTTACTGGAGGATATAATGTATTTTGCGGTTTGCTCAGTAATGATTACTTTGATGTAACCACAGCAACATGTGACACTGGGTCGGCTGCTCACATTGAGAGCGATATCACCTTAAAGCCAAGCTCTGAACACTGATGTGGGGATTGTTTTTTGCAGAAAAATGGTCCGTTCAAATAAATCTGTAAAGGCTTCAAGCCTAAACATGACAGACTTTAATTTAAGACTAAGTTCACCCAATAATTTATTGACCCTATTCCCTTATTTTATTTTATTTTTTTAAAGATTTTGTTGGCTCTAGTGGCCTTTAATTACAGTAGCTTGACGACCCTATTCCCTTTTTAGGAATGATCTTCACTTTAACATGTTTTTTACATTTTTGAAATGTATATTTTGGTTTGCAGACAGTTCATTCAGACCTGCAAGATTACCGTAAAACTGTATTCATTCTTAAATGCCATTTTTAGACATCAGTTCTTGCATAGAAACAATCAGATCATTGCTCGGAACGGTAGAAATCCTAAATTCAACAACTGTTAAACTAAGAAAACAAGATGACAGCCGCTCTGTGTTGAATGTGGCTTTCCGTGGAGCATCTTAAGCTGCAAACGAAGCCGTCAGCCAAACTAAAGCGCCATCTGACGACGGAACACCCAGAGCATGCGGCCACAGTCGTGTGACATATTCAGCCCATTCAGAAGCCTCCGTTTAAGCTTGCGCGTCCATCCATGGACTTGCGTGCTCTCAACAAACAGATTTCCTTCACAGAAATGGCGCATCTTCTTTCATTGGGAATCTGATGAAAGACCAAGTTGCCTCCCGTCTCTCTGCAGTCAGCCGGTGGTGTTCAGCACAAACGTTTGACATCGTGAGGACGATAATTTTAGCTTTTCTCGTGCTGTCAGGATGCCACACGCGAGATTTCAGCAACACTTTTTTTAAATGAGTGTCCTTAAGTCCTGTGGCCATGACAGTTTTGATCCCCTTCCCGCTGCCTGTCCTCTGACTCATTCTCCTTTCTAGCTGCACCGCACGCATCCAGACGGCGGCAGCCTGCCTTTTAACTGCTTTTCTAATTTGTGTGAAAGTCTTTTCAGAGTTATGGGAATGTATGTGTGTCTGCGGGAATGTTTTTATTTTTTATTTTTAATTTTTAAATGTTTTGTGAACAGTTGCTGAAAAGTTATGATTGAGGCAGAAAAGTAGAATAACCACATGTGCTTAGGGTGACATTTTAACAAGATGACTTCATATAGTTTCAAGATAACACAAGTAAATGAATGGATGCAGGTTCTTTTCAACAAAGTAATTTTCATATAAAGCTTTGCATGCTAGATGAGTCATAAGATAAAGTCACAGTAAGTCCATTAGATCCCAACGCTTGGAATTGTATTTTTTTTAATTAGAACATTTCATGGTCTGCAGAGAAGCTCGGAGAGGTAAGGACCTCTGTGGTAACCCTACAAGCCCATACATTCGTTTCAACATGGAGGATGGACACCTGTTGGGAAGAACCTGAAAGGTCAGGCTGAAAACAGGACCAGGGCTCATTAAAACAGCCCCTGCCCTTCAGGACAGCTCAATTAAAAACTTAACCTCATGCTGTTCCATTGATCTACCGAGGCAGGTCTGGGCTACTAGGGGGTGCTGAACAGAACATGGTGGTGAATGCGCCAAGCTGCAAAAAGTCAGGGGACCTTGAAGAAGAGGTATGCCGTTCCTATTTGAGTCAAGGTAAAGGTTATGCAATAAGCCAGGATGTGGACACTTAGGTTTGACATCCATACTTCTTTTACCTCACATCTCTTATTGTTCAGTGACAGGAAAGCTCGTTGGAGATTTGTTTGTGAAGGAAAAATGTTTAATAAAGAGGGAATTAAAGTGAGAAAGGATTGGAACCTGGAGTGTGGCGGATTAATGGGTTGTGTAAGTATGATTGGGTGCAGCCTGGCACAAGCAGGTTGTAATGAGCTTCATGAGGTTTTCTTGAGAAGATTACATACAGATTGATTGATTGCTGATGCTTCTGTCACTCCTGATCCGACAAAGCTTGAAGATTAGCAACTTAATAATCGACCCGTTTTGTTTTCTGTCTGACATTCAGACCTGCATCCCCTTTGATCGCCTACTTTGAGGTCTTCTGAAGACAATCACTGTATATGTCTTTATGGCAAAGTGTCATGTGACTAGAAACAGCTTAACATATTTGAATATAACATGAATTTCCTCAAACATCTTGGAAAAGTTAAGCGCTGAAAAGCGTGCAGAAAAAAATGGTGCAAGTGAGTGGCTTTGGCCTGAAAAAGAAGCAGGGCTAAATCTTACAGAATTTACAACATCTGAGTCATGAGTTTTCGTAGACTCTGTCATTTAGAAATTAAATCTTTGAGGCAGTGATTGAGTTGGTGGCACTTGAACTGAAAACCAGTGAATCAAGTTATTTATTTCTTTAGTTAATATTTTTCTAATCTGATGACTTTGCAATGAGCAAACGCTAAAGTGAGCACGTCGCTTACAGATTATGTCACAATTTGTGTTCTTAATGCTTGATCTGAAGTCAAAACTATGGGCAAATAAAAGCAAGCACATGTTGTCGAAAGCACAGATGAGAAAAATCTCATTAAATCTTTTGCTAATTTTAATGTTGAAACTGAAAGAAAAATATTTTTTTCTATTTGATCATTCTCATTTACCCAAAGCAAAATATAAGCCAACCACATTGATTTTTATCAGCATTAACTCGTATTAAATTCCTTGTTCAAATGTACCAACAGAAGCGGAACGATGTTTGGCATTTTTAAAATATTTATGTCATGTTCTGATTTTGTTTGGTTTCTTCATCATTGCCTGTCAAAAGCAGCAAATTACTGATTGCTGTCTGCACATTAACATATTCTCTGATGCATTCTCTTTGTGGCTTAATGAATGCAAAGCCATATAATCAGTCAAGACTGATTAGATGGCAGCATTTCTAGCCCTCTACATGCCTTTTCTTGTCACTCTGCATCACTGTTCCTGCACCACGAGCAAAGGACCTCTTGAGAGCTGATTTGAATAGACTATTGACCTTTGCTCATGGCTTTCTCCACAGGAAAATGTAACTTTTTTTGCTTTTCTCTTATGAACAGGATCTTTCTTTATTGAATGATTTGTTGATAATTGTTTAACTTGCAACTTAAATATCTGGAATTGACCAAGTTATTCTTAACATTTGTGTGAAAAAATAAGTCCAAAACTGTTGTGGGTTTCAAATAAAACATCAAAACCCTTTTTTTTTTCTCAGAACTTCTATATTAATATGGCAGTGTAACATAGCAGTGTGAGACATGGTGATGGCATTATCCCCCTTCCCCCTCTTGGCCTCCAACTGTCTCTCCTCATAGGCCTGGAACTCTCCAGGCCCTGTCATCCTGAATGCCTCCACTAGTTGCTCTCACTGGGCTTCCTGCTCCATCGGGTCACATGGTCCAATCACCCACCTCAGCTTTTTTTTTTTTTTCAGCCCCCCCCCCCAGTATGCGGCACATAGAGGACAGGTTTCAGTATGCGTTTGCCAGATTGTCTACGGTGCCACAGCCTGTTATCCGTCTGACTCCTGCCTGTCGCCCGCATCCTGCCCATCCTGTCTGCTCTCCTTCATCACATGCCTGTTTGGCCCGATGGTCCCAGATTTAGAAGAACTGTCTTTGTCCCAACCGCCAAGTCCCGGGGTCTGATTTTTGTTTGCACTTTTACCAACCAGACGCGTTGCGCTGCCTTCATTTACCGAGCAACTACGTAGTGTCGATTGCAGTATCCTACCATGAGCGATGGCCTTGCAGTGCTAACATGTTCTAATTAGCTTTAGCCATCTAGAAAGGAAGCTGGCCTCTGCATAGTTGTTCAGAAGTTGAACAAATGGCATTTTTCCCAACTGAAAATCCAAGAAATTATGAAACAAAAAAAAACGGGTTCCGTTTATTGTTTGCCTGACAAACTGGAATGATCCTTCTCCATCCTGAAGAGTTTTATTTAAGATGGAATATGTGAAAATGTATTTTTCATGGGAAGTATCCTGCCATCATTTCTCAAATCAAGTACATTATCTTTTTGACTGCATGA